TTTTACCTCACAGGGTGTCTGTTGTGGGGAGGGGAAGGGAAAGGAGTTTGTAAGCCCCTCTGAGACTCCTTTGGGTAGTGAAGGGCGGGGTATAAATCCAATCTCTTCTCTTCTTCTTTTACCTCACAGGGTGCCTGTTGTGGGGAGGGGAAGGGAAAGGAGTTTGTCAGCCGCTCTGAGACTCCTTCGGGTAGTAAAGGGCGGGGTATAAATCCAATCTCCTCCTTCTCTTCCTCTTCATCCAAATGAGCTTGACATCTCTGCTTTATACAGAATGGCCCTTATAAAAAATCTGTATCGTGTGTATTCTCCCCCCCCCAATTTCCTGTTGTTCCCCCCCAGACCTCTGTCTGTCAAACTGTACTTCCAGCCTGTAGTTGTGTTGGCGACAGGCCCCGTTCGGGGCGATCAGGCTTGTGGCGCAAGCCGGCACATGTTGACTTAGAAGGGCTTATCCTGTCTGGCTCTTGGCTGGCGCTTAGCTGAAACCAAAGGGCAAGCGTGTCTCATATATAAAAAGGAGAAGGACCTGCCCTAAAGCCCTTGAGAATGGGCTGGTTGATAAATGGAGAGAACTGCAAAGCACCTTTACTGGGGTGCTGCTACCTTGCCCTTGGAGGAAAGCGTGACTTCCTTTATCATCATATAAGGTGCAGTTGCTTGGTTCTGTTTGGGTCACTTGAGTGCAGGTAGTCTGGCTTTCTCGCCTCGCAGAGCTGAAGCAGTAACTCACCTTCGCAGGTGGGTTTCTAGAGCTTGCTGTTGTTGTTGTTCAGTCGCACGGCCAAGCCCGACTCTTTGCGACCCCGAGGACCCCATCACGCCAGGCCCTCCTGTCTTCCGTCGTCCTCCGGAGTTTGCCACCTGCATGTTCGTTGCGTCGAGCACACTGTCCAACCATCTCATCCTTTGCCGTCCCCTTCTTTCACCTTCAGTCTTTCCCAGCATCAGGGTCTTCTCCTCCAGTGAGTGCTCCCTTCTCATTGGGTGGCCAGAGTATTTGAGCTTCAGCTTCAGTCTCTGGCCTTCCAGGGAACAGTCAGGGTTGATAGAAACTCGCAGGGTTGATTTCTTTTAGGATTGACTGATTTGATCTCCTTGGGACTCTCAATAGTCTTCTCCAGCACCATAATTTGAAAGAATCTATTCTTCAGCGCTCGGCCTTCCTTATAGTCCATCTCTTGCAGCCATACTGGGAATATTCCCAGCCTACTGGGAATACCATTGCTTAGACCATACAGACTTTTGTTGACAGAGTGATGTCTCTAGGTTTTCTAGAGCTAGCCCTGCAAATAATAATTCCTAAGGGCTGGCAACGAATGCATAGCCACCGAGTACTTTCAAGAACTCTACGTAAGTGGAAATCATTTATAGAGGGTTCTGGAAGCTGAGAACTTCTCTAAACAGAGATGGCTTGGTGCTTGGGGGGTTCAACAGTGGGAGGGCTTCTAATGTCCTGGCCCCACTGGTGGACCTCCTGAGGGCACCTGGTGTTTTTGGCCACCGTGTGACCCAGAGTGTTGGACTGGATGGGCCTTTGGCCTGATCCAACATTGGTGTCTCTTATGTTCTTATAGCTATGTTCATGAAGGGTATCCTGTGGGTTTGTCCCGGTTTCTTGATCGTGCCCCATTCCCTCTTCCTTCAGAGCATCGAATCCTGCCACAGCGTGCTCTTGGTGTGGGCCGATGCTGCTTTTAGGAAGCCAGCGGATGGGGTGTTACTTGGAGTCTGGTTGCTACATCTGTGTTCCGGTGGGGATGGGTCCCTAGCAGGTGTGCCGTGGAGGAGACTGGCAGATTTGGCCATTTCCTTTGCTTAGTGGCGTGCTGATTTTCCATGAACGTGAGATGTCCTTTAGTACCGTCCTGTAGGAACTTTTGTCCTGCCTCTCTGTTGTAAAGATGCCCAGTGGGACTAGCAGCAACCCAGCACAATAAATGCAGCAATAAAACAAAGATCACAGGTAATTGCTCTTAATGTGCATGTGATTCAGATTGTATGTAAGTAGGATGGATTTAACCTGGGGCCTAAAAAATACTGGGTGCCAGGGAATTTGACTGGGGAAGAAGTCCCCTTCCCCGAGAAAGAAGGCCTTGCCATTTTGGTGTAGTGGTTAAGAGCGGCGGACTCTGATCTGGGAGAACCGGGTTTGATTCTCCACTCCTCCACATGCAGCTGCTGGTGTGACCTTGGGTCAGTCACCAGTTCTCTCAGAGCTGTTCTCTCAAGGGCAGTCCTCGAAAGAGCTCTCTCAGCCCCACCTCCCTCACAGGGTGTCTCTTGGGAGGGGAAGGGAAAGGAGTTTGTAAGCCGCTCTGAGACTCCTTCGGGTAGTGAAGGGCGGGGTATAAATCCAACTCACTCATTTTTGTCTTCACTCAGGAAGGAGGGCTCCAGAGCAGTGTTCCCTCTAAGGTGAGTGAGTGTGAGCCAGCGCACAGGTCTTTAGCCTTCGGCTCACACATTTTTTTCTTCGCTCAGGAAGGAGGGCTCCAGAGCAGTGTTCCCTCTAAGCTGCGTTAGTGCGAGCTGGCTCACAGTTTTTTAGCCTCCGGCTCACACATTTTTGTCTTCGCTCAGGAAGGAGGGCTCCACAGTTTTTTAGCCTCCAGCGCACACGTTTTTGTCTCAGCTCAGGAAGAAGGGCTGCAGAGGAAACTGATTTATGCAGTAGCCACATCACTCGCTCACAGCTTTAATGCCGGTAGCTCACAAAGTAGAATTTTTGCTCACAAGACTCCACAGTTTAGAGGGAGCCTTGGCCACAAGGTATAGATGGAAGAATCTGTCTGGGGCAGAGGTGCCCTGCCTTCTTAGTGCTTGGGGGTGGGGGGGCTCTGGAGTTGTGGTCCCACTGGTGGACTCCCTGATGGCACCTGGATCTTCGGCACTGTGCAACACAGAGTGTTGGATTAGGTGGGCCTGATCCAGCATGGCTTTTCATATGTTCTTATGATTGAAATAGCTTATTTCGGCATAAGTATGTCTGTGAACTGTATTCTTGGTGCTTGGGGGGGCAACACTGGGAGGGGCTTCTAGTGTCCTGGCCCCACTGCTGGACCTCCTGATGGCACCTGGTATTTTTGGCCACTGTGTGACACAGAGTGTTGGACTGGATGGGCCATTGGCCTGATCCAACATTGGCTTCTTTTATGTTCTTATGTTCTGTGCATGTGGGAATATAAGTATTGCATTCTTCGCCTTATCTGGGTGTGAAGAGGGGGGTGTTGGATGCGGCTTCTGAGTCCGGGGTGACCAGCTGGTGGTCAGCAGCCAGCGTCTGGTGCGCTAGCTGGCCAAGCTGCTTGGGTGGAGCCAGCCCCAAACAGAAACAACATGTGAGTCTTGCATGGACGTCTGTACTTCCTGAAAGGAGTTTCTAGAGGGCGTCTCTCCCGATCAAATTGAGCTTGCAATCCAGAGGCCTCTGGGCACAGAGGATTTTGGAGCGTGTTTTCCTTTCCCGCGTCTGTCGTTCCGATAACCACTTTTGGTGGCGTGTCTTTTTGGCCCCTTTCTCAGTTGAAGAAGTAACCTTCTCCTGCCCTAAATCTGTGTGGTCGTAGGGATTGGGCCCCTTTTGTTTTGTTGATTTTTCTTTATTTCAGGGAAGGTTAAAAGCTTGTCAAAGCAGGTGTATTAGCAAGGTCCTACAAATCCTTCTTCCTTCTGTCTGAGGTGTTCTTACGCATCTTTCCTACAGTTTAAGGGTCTCCCAGACTAAAACGGGTAGTGGCCAAGAGAGAGGCCTCAAAGTCTGCGTCCCTTGGAGGAAATTTCCAGATTACTACAAGGATACCATTTGGTTGATAGCAGAAGCTTCTGAATCGATACTACAAAGATACTATAACTTTGCATTGCAAGTTCTGTAATCAAATGTGTTTTCTCGTTGGTGGCACTGCCCTGTTATTAAACAATTCTGGAAAGAAATAGTTATTAAAATTAAGAAGGTTACTACAGTAGACTTACTGCCTTTTTCTCCTGAGTTTTTTCTGTTAGAAAAATGGCCAATACCTAGGAAAGAAAGGAATAACGAAGAATTAATAGCAAATCTGATAGCCATAGCATGTATTCTTATTGCATCTAGATGGATAGACAAAACCCCCCCATCACTTACCCAATGGTACAATCGGATTCGGGAACACTTTATATTGCAAAAGGTTTCATTCAATTTAACAAACTCATCGCCAGAAAACTACACTAAAAAAGTAGTTGCAGTTTGGTATCTTGTTATAAGCTTTATGTTGGAAAAAGAGATTATGGTCCCGGTCACACGGGCCGTAAAATGCGGGGGCGGGGGAGCGTGGCAGTTTGGCCCAAAGCAAAATAACGCGCGGCCGCCTGATCGCAGGTCCCATCGAGGTCCCGTGGGTAGGGGCAAGGTGGCGATCACACAGCGATCCTGCAGTGTGGCAAAGAAGTGGCGCGGCGCGATCCCACCAACGGCATGCACGATTCTGCGGAGCAACGGAACTTTCGCTTTCCTCTTCGTGCGCATGCGCTGTTGGGTACTTGTGCGCATCCTGTGGAGACTTGGGGGGAAAAAACCTGTTTGCGACGGGACATGGGTGGGTGCCGGATGCCACAGACTACCATCGGAAACGCGATCAGACACCAGCCCTTGCCCTGCGGTTTCCGGAAACCTCGGAGGTACTAGTTTTTAACTCCGCATCTTCGGCGGGAAGCCATGAGAGCTCTACGCTTCCCAGATGTTGTGGTGTGATCGCGCCCGGAAAATCCGCCTACCATCTGTCTCAGTAGCGTGGCTAATGCTCCGTGGGACCGCAGCCTAAATAAGATAATCCACAATATCAGAAAATGATTTATTTTTAAATGTACGTTTAAATTTATTTCAGCTTGAATGTAAGTAAGATGTTGTTTTAGACTTTAGGAGTGTATGTATACAAGAAGCAAGGCTAAATCTTTGTGATTTTCAATTTTATGTTGTAACACTTGAAAATTGTTAATTAAAAAAAAGTGTTTTTTCTCCCATCTAGCGAAGATAAATTGTATCTACCCGTGGAACTCCCACCGTTTTCTGGACTGGACTTTTTTTGAAGGTTCCCACCATGAGTCTCCAGTGGGCTGCTGTGGCCACTTTCCTCTACGCCGAAGTCATTCTGGTGTTTCTCCTCTGCATTCCCTTTATCTCAGCCACAAGGTGAGGCGCTGTGCAGCGGGATGAATTCATGACCGGCAGGGCAGTTTGGTAGCAGCGAGAGGTACCGAATGTCTCCTCTTGTCCTCCGGGCTATTGTGTGGGCTCCGTGCTGTAAAGTCTCGGGTTCAGGTCACCCATGAGTGACCCTGCGCCTATCAGCCTCGCCTACCCCACAGTACAGTTGTGAGGTAAAATGGAGGAGGAACAAGAGAAGAAGAGAAGAGATTGGATCTATCCCCCTCCCTTCACTTGGAGTCTCAGAGCGGCTTACAAACTCCTTTCCCTTCCCCTCCCCACAACAGGCACCCTGTGAGGGAGGTGGGGCTGAGAGAGCTCTGAGAGAAACGGCTCTTGAGAGAACAGCTCTGAGAGAACTATGGCTTGCCCAAGGTCATCCAGCAGCTACAAGTGGAGGAGTGGGGGAATCAAACCCGGTTCTCCCAGATTAGAGTCCACACACTTAACCACACAGTAAACCACATCTGGAGTTCCTTTGAAGGGCAGGATAAAAACCTGATGGGTAGATAATGAGACAGAGAGTAATTAGCATGCAAAAACTGATAAAAGGAGGTTAGGTTGCTTGCCAGGGTGTGTGGGAAGTGCAAGGAATAAGCAGGCGTCCTTGTGAGTGAGAGGGAAGTAGGGGAAGAGTCAGCTTGGCTTCTTGCAGTTGCCTAAAGACTTTCTCAAAAGGGAACTGACATTTGCAGAGGCTCTGAGCCCAGGGTCAGGAGTCCCTTTGCCAAAAAGTATGTGGCATAAAGTTGATACAGGATCCGCATATGCCAAAAATGTTGCACAAAGCTGAATGCCGCGGTCTGGGTGAATTAAGTGTCTTTTGTCCACAACCTTTTGGAGTCTCTGGGCACCTTTGGAATTCTGACACTCCAAAGAAAATGGCTGCCGCAGGAGGCAGAGCCAGCCACAAAATGGCTGCCACAGCTCACCTTCAGTCACAGAGTGAAGAGCCTTGCGTGGTGGTGACAGCTGCTGCTGAAGCAGTATTTTTAAAAATCTGCACAGTCCCACCTGACCCCCTCCGCTTTCTAAAAAACACTATTAGGTGCTGTGGTGCCCGTAGGCACCACGTTGGGGACCCCTGGGCTAATCTGTTACAATTCCACGAATGAAACTTGAGAAACAAAATGGAAAGCTTGCTGCCGGCGTAAAACGCGCTCAGCTACCACTGCTCTGTAAAAATCCCAAACTAATCAGACACTGTATAAATTTTGAGGCACCTTTAAGACAGCCAGTTTGGTGTAGTGGTTAAGTGCGTCGACTCTAATCTGGGAGAACCGGGTTTGATTCCCCACTCCTCCGCTCGCAGCTGCTGGATGACCTTGGGCAAGCCATAGTTCTGGCACAGCTGTTCTTGAAAAAGCGCAGTTCCCAAAAGAGCACTCTCAGCCACAGCTACCTCACAGGGTGTCTGTTGTGGGGAGGGGAAGGGGAAGGAGTTTGTAAGCTGCTCTGAGACTCCTTTGGGTAGTGAAGGGCAGGCTATAAATCCAATCTCTTCCTCCTCTTCTTCTCTCAAGAGCTCTCTCAGCCCCACCTACCTCACAGGGGAGAGGAAGGGAAAGGAGATTGTAAGCCACTCTGAGACTCCGAATGAAGGGCAGGGTATAAATCCAGCTTCTTCTCTCTTCTCTTTCTTAAGACCAAGAAAGTCTACTTAAGCTGTAAACTTTCATATGCAAGCACACTTCCCTCAGACAAACTGAAAGCTTCAAGTCTTACATACAGAAAGATGGTGTGTGTGTAAGAGTCAGGAAGGACCAGTCAGAGTTAAGATGCATAAGTGAAGCTGAGATTGGATCAAGGCGGTAAGATCAATGAATGGCGGCCGATTAGCACACAAATGCGAGAGCTGTCAAACAGATGTGAGAACGAAGCCCGACCCTGGGTACATGTGAGAACTGAGAGACTCTGCATGTATAGATGCACACTTCTTCGAATGTATAGAAACAGATTTCCCTAAAAATTATATACAGGTGTGTGTGTGTGGGGGGGTGTTAGTTGCCAGGAAGAGCTAATTAGAGTCAAGATGCATAAGTAATTGAGCAGTAAGTACAGCTAAGATTAGAATAACACATGCGGTAACCAATGCTCCCTCTAAGCTGTGGAGTCCTGTGAGCAAAAACTCTACCTGGTGAGCTACCGGCATTACAGTTGTGGGTAAGCGATTTAACTACTACATACACTAGTTTGCTCTGGAGCCCTCCTTCCTGAGTGGAGACAAAAAGTCTGTGAGCTAGAGGCTAGAAAACTGTGAGCTGGCTCACACTGAGTCCGCTTAGAGGGAACACTGGCGTTAACTAAGACAGCAAATTGGCATGCAGATAATAAAGGCGTTAACAACAAGGGCGAGACGTTCGACTCCAGCGGCACCTTTAAGACCAAGAAAGCTTAACAAATTAATTCAATTAATTTCAAAGGTGTGGGTCTTAAAGGTGCCACTGGACTTGAATTTTGTTCTGCTGCTCCAGACCAAAACAGCTGCCTGAATCTAATTGTATAAATTGGTGAGTCATTCTTGTGTGGCGGGCCTCAAAGATTCTGAAGCCAAGGGGAAGTCTGTCATGGCCACCCCTCTGGTTTAGGAAACTAACTTTGCCACTCTTTTAAAAGAAAGGGAGGCCCTTGCAGGGCTCTTTTTGTAGAAAAAGCCCAGCAGGAACTCATTAGCATAATAGGCCACACCCAACAGCAAAACTCATTAGCATATTAGGCCACACAGTCGAGTCCGACTCTTCGCGACCCCATGGACCAGATCACACCAGGCCTTCCTGTCTTCCGCCGTCCTCTGAAGTTTGCTCAACTTCATGTTCGTTGCATCTATGACACTGTCCAACCATCTCATCCTTTGCCGTCCCCGTCTTCTTTGACCTTCAGTCTTTCCCAGCATCAGGGTCTTCTTCTCCAGCGAGTGCTCCCTTCTCATTGGGTGGCCAAAGTATTTGATCAAAAAAAATCACAGATTCCACATAGTACCAGTAGACATTAGTCTGTTGCAACGTAAGTACAGTAAATCAATTAATAAAGTAGAATTGGTGGTCACAGTTCAAAACCACAAGCTGCAGTACAAGAAACGGACAAGAAAGGGTATGACAATTCAATAATAGAAAAAGAATCCGGCAAGAGACCACCTCTATATCCTTTCAGTACAATAGTGTCCACAAACAAGGCGGGGGATGTCCCATAGCGCAAAGGAACTTCCGCAGCCGAAAAACGCCCTTCCTAGGTGTGGCAGACGTTTCAAAGCATTCTTCCTCAGTTATAGGGCTGAAAAATGGATCCTGATTTCCACAATAATCTAGGCACAGCTCATGTCTCCAGTGGAATCTATGGTTCTTATTGGGAGCAGGACAGGGCCGTTCGTGGAAGAAGAGAGTCTCTGGGCCTGCCTCAGTTGCTTGGCAACGGTCAGCTTCTAAGCATTACGCTTGGCCCAGGCCTCGGAGGTTATCTGCCGCTGCTGGGCAACCAGGACAGCCGTGCCTCTGTAAGACACTCCGCAGCAACAGGTGTTCATTGATGTTTGTCTCTGTTGAGCCGTATAGGTAGACGGCAAGTTCCAGAAGGAAGGCAAGATCATGTTATCCCTTCTGAACAGTTAGCGGGCATACTGACGGGGAGTCCTCTTTGGAAAGAATAACCCGGTCTTCCTTCTCTCTTCCTCTCTCTCCACAGATGGCAGAAGATCTTCAGGTCCCGCCTGGTGCGCCTGCTGGTGATCTACGGGAACACCTTCTTTGTCGTGCTGATCGTCATTCTTGTCCTCCTGTTTCTGGGTAAGTAGAAATTTGGGGAGGGGGCGCACTCAGCAGCTGTGTTCATTGAATTTCTCTCAGGTCCCCGTTGAAGGAGTTTTGTACCTCTGAAGTAGGGTTGTCAACGCAGTGCCGGGCAACCGGTGCCAAGGTTGTGGGTGGGGTCGGGTTGGTGACGCCGACTGCGGTGCTGCGTCTCTTCTGGAACAACGGAGAAGTGATGTAGCATAGCTCTAGGAATTGCTTAGAGGTGTCCTATGGTAGAGACGCCTAGGATCCATTAGAAGCTTAGCAGCACACTTGAGCCTGAACATTTCCTGAGATCAGCGTCCTATCTGGATGTATTATCTTTCATGACTTCTTGTAAAGCACTTTACGAACAAGAGAACTTTTGTCCTACTCTGACATGTCCTGATGAAGATCCAATTTTGAAACGTTGTTATATAATCCGGAGACGACGTTGATGATGTACCTTTACACTAGGATTTTCTTACGATTTGTGGGGATTTATTTATTGTGTTGTAGTGCTTCAGACTGTAATACATAGTAAGCATTTTCTTTGCAAGTCTTGTTGATGGCTTCATTTGTGGGTCAGACTCTCACAACTGTTTTCGTTACACTCGTTCTCTGATTAGGTCGTGTTTGTCCACGTTTGTCTTGTCCTTTGGTAAAACCATAAAGCTTTTTAGCATTTTTTAAAACCGCAAACAGAAAAGAAATAAAAAGTATAACAACTATGGCAGCAAGTCCGCAGGCAGTCATCTATAAAAGCTTTCTGTATATCTAAAAATATGTCCGTGTGCAATTGTCGTGGGTATGCTGTACATTTAAATGTTGATAAAGTTGTAAAGTTCTCAATCCATCGGGTTGCTGGAGGTGGGCGTTTCTTTTCTGTGTTGTGATAAAAGCCCTTGCTAAAAGTAAGGGCGCGAGAGTCCTTTTGCATTGGCTATCATTTAGTTTCCAGGAAACAGACAAATAGCAGCTGTGGCACTCCGTCGTTTCTGGGGGGAAATGTAAGTGACGTAAGGTAGCTCTAGGAATCATCTGGAGCTACGCTATGGGGAAACCATAGAGCTTCCAGTAATTCCTAGCACTACCATATGCCACTTCCGGGTTTTTACCACAAGTGCTGTTGCGAAGCACATAAATGCTTCCTTTCCCCCCCACTGCTGCTCTGAGTGGCTGGGGGCGGGGGAACCCCTTCCCCCCACACTGGAATCTTGGCAACCCGACTTCTTCTTAGCTAGATCTGCGTACAGCTTCCTTTTGTGGCAAAGAAGGGAGTGCAACTCATGTGTGTGTGGGGGGGGGTGTGTGTGTTTGTGTGTGTGTGTGGGCTCACCACCTTTTCTTCGGCTACTGGGAGGTCAAAGGTGGAGAGGGAAGAAGCAGGTGGGAAGTGGGGTGGTGGCGGACAGCCCTGACGGACATTCTCAGCCTTCTGGGTGGCACTGTCCTCTCTGCTGTGCCTCGTGCCGTGCAGGGGTCCTGGCACTGAGAGGCCAAGGGCAATCCGTGGGGGAGACCTCGGTGGCGTGCCAAAAGAAAAGATGCATGTATCAGAACCAGTGCGTCGGTAGTTCCAGAAAATGAATTTCAGAAGAGCTCTGGTGGATCAGACCGGTGGTCCCTCTAGTCCAACATCCCGTCTCACGCAGGGGCCAGCCAGTTCCCCTGGAGGGCCAGCAACAGGGCAGGGAGGCCGAGGCCTTCCCCTGAGAAGAACACTAGAAGAGGCCTGGTGGGTCAGACCAGGGAAGGTCCCTCTAGTCCAGCCTCCCGTCTCACACAGGGGCCAGCCAGTCCCTCTGGAGGGCCAGCAACAGGGCAGAGAGGCCGAGGCCTTCCAACCCCTTCCCCCCACACTGGAATCTTGGCAACCCGACTTCTTCTTAGCTAGATCTGCGTACAGCTTCCTTTTGTGGCAAAGAAGGGAGTGCAACTCATGTGTGTGTGGGGGGGGCTCACCACCTTTTCTTCGGCTCGCCTTCCTTTGTTTTAAGACAGCAGCCATTTAGAGGATTCCAGGTGTGGCTCAACCAGCAGTGCAAGAACTAATTGTTGGCTTCCTTGACGGCTGTCCAGTCTGGAGCAGTACTTCCCGGCTAGTCTGGAGCAATACTAAAGGGCTACTGGGAGGTCAAAGGTGGAGAGGGAAGAAGCAGGTGGGAAGTGGGGTGGTGGCGGACAGCCCTGACGGACATCCTCAGCCTTCTGGGTGGCATGGTCCTCTCTGCTGTGCCTCGTGCCCTGCAGGGGTCCTGGAACTGAGAGGCAAAGGGCAATCTGTGGGGGAGACCTCGGTGGCTTACCAAAAGAAAAGAAAACTGTCTTTTCCTGTGGCCATCACTACATCCTCTGGCAGCCAATTCCACCTTTTAACCACACTCCACGTAAAGTTGTATTTCCTTTAGTCCGTCCTGAGCCTACTGCCCATCAGCTTCATTGGATGCCCTCCAGCGCATTTTACCTTCCGCTTCTGTTGAGAGGGGCCTTAAGGAGGCGTGGATGTAAGCACAGGGGTACTCAAGCTCCTCTAGGGAGAACTGCTTCCTTCTGGTGCTCAGAAGCACGATCCGTTGTTGGCAGCTGGCACTCACCCGGTGGCATGCAGGTGCCTCCTGGAAATAGCCCTGGGCCAGCTGCTCGGCAGCCGGTTTCTCTTGCCCGCGCTCCCTTTGGCAGGAGAACCTGACTGGGATTAGTGTGGGGTTGTCTCATACAAGCTACTGTTTAGGCAGGGCTGGCATTAGCACAGTAGGTGAGGAAGCTGGCTTGGGCGTGTTTAGGGACACACTTTTCTCTGTGCTAGAAGGGTGTATACGTCTGTAGAAGCGTGTGCATTTTGTAGCCCCCTCAAATATGTTGGGGCTGGCTGATAAAGCGGATGCCGTTTGACAAGCTCAACTCCAGAGCAGTGTTCCCTCTAAGTGTTCCCCTAAACAGGGGAAGGCCTCGGCCTCTCTGCCCTGTTTCTGGCCCTCCAGAGGGACTGGCTGGCCCCTGTGTGAGACGGGAGGCTGGACTGGAGGGACCCTCCCTGGTCTGACCCAGCAGGGCTCTTCTGGTGTCCATCTCAGGGGAAGGCCTCGGCCTCTCTGCCCTGTTGTGGGCCCTCCAGAGGAACTGGCTGGCCCCTGTGTGAGACGGGAGGCTGGACTGGAGGGACCCTCCCTGGTCTGACCCAGCAGGGCTCTTCTGGTGTCCTTCTCAGGGGAAGGCCTCGGCCTCTCTGCCCTGTTGCTGGCCCTCCAGAGGGACTGGCTGGCCCCTGTGTGAGACGGGAGGCTGGACTGGAGGGACCCTCACTGGTCTGACCCAGCAGGGCTCTTCTGGTGTCCTTCTCAGGGGAAGGCCTCGGCCTCTCTGCCCTGTTGCTGGCCCTCCAGAGGAACTGGCTGGCCCCTGTGTGAGACGGGAGGCTGGACTAGAGGGACCCTCCCTGGTCTGACCCAGCAGGGCTCTTCTGGTGTCCTTATCAGGGGAAGGCCTCGGCCTCTCTGCCCTGTTGCTGGCCCTCCAGAGGGACTGGCTGGCCCCTTTGTGAGACGGGAGGCTGGACTAGAGGGACCCTCCCTCGTCTGACCCAGCAGGGCTCTTCTGGTGTCCTTCTCAGGGGAAGGCCTCGGCCTCCCTGCACTGTTGCTGGCCCTCTGGAGGGACTGGCTGGCCCCTGTGTGAGACGGGAGGCTGGACTAGAGGGACCCTCCCTGGTCTGACCCAGCAGGGCTCTCCTGGTGTCCTTCTCAGGGGAAGGCCTCGGCCTCCCTGCCCTGTTGCTGGCCCTCCAGAGGGACTGGCTGGCCCCTGTGTGAGACGGGAGGCTGGTACAAGACTCCAAAGCTTAGAGGGAGCATTGCTCCAGAGTGGTTCAGTTTGGAAAGAGACGGCTAAGGGGGTGGGGGAGAGACATTGTAGAGGTTTGTGGAATTACGCACAGGCTGGAGAGAGCTGAGAAACAGAACTTTTTCTCCCTCTCCCGAAATACTAGAACTCGAGGCCATGCAAAGAAGTGGTACATTCAGGATGGACGAAAGGAAATACTAGTTGACACCAGTGTTCCCTCTAAGCTGAGTTAGTGTGAGCTAGTTTACAGTTTTTAAGCCTCCGACTCGCACATTTTTGTCTCGGCTCAGGAAGGATGGCTCTAGAGCAAACTGATTTATGCAGGAGCCAAATGGCTCGCTCACAACCTTAATGCCAGTAACTCACAAAGTAGAATTTTTGCTCACAGGACTCCACAGTTTAGAGGGAGCATTGGTTGACCCTGAGAGCGATTAAAATGTGAAATCTGCTGCCAGAGGATGTAGTGATGGCCACAGGCATAGACAGCTTTAAAAGGGGATTGGACAGAGTCATGGTGGATCAGTCTACCAATGGCCACTAGCTATGGGGACTAAAGTGAAACTCCATGTTCAGAGGCGATCAGCCTCTCTGCCCTGTTCCTGGCCCTCCAGGGGAACCGATTGGCCTCTGTGTGAGACCAGAGGCTGGACTAGAGGGACCCTCCCTGGTCTGACCCAGCAGAGCTCTTCTGGTGTCCTTATCAGGGGAAGGCCTCGGCCTCCCTGCCCTGTTGCTGGCCCTCCGGAGGGACTGGCTGGCCCCTGTGTGAGACGGGAGGCTGGACTAGAGGGACCCTCCCTGGTCTGACCCAGCAGAGCTCTTCTGGTGTCCTTATCAGGGGAAGGCCTCGGCCTCCCTGCCCTGTTGCTGGCCCTCCGGAGGGACTGGCTGGCCCCTGTGTGAGACGGGAGGCTGGACTAGAGGGACCCTCCCTGGTCTGACCCAGCAGAGCTCTTCTGGTGTCCTTATCAGGGGAAGGCCTCGGCCTCCCTGCCCTGTTGCTGGCCCTCCGGAGGGACTGGCTGGCCCCTGTGTGAGACGGGAGGCTGGACTAGAGGGACCCTCCCTGGTCTGACCCAGCAGAGCTCTTCTGGTGTCCTTATCAGGGGAAGGCCTCGGCCTCCCTGCCCTGTTGCTGGCCCTCCGGAGGGACTGGCTGGCCCCTG